GAGTTTCGTGAGAATTTCTTAAACAATTGAATAAAATCATGGAAATATTAAATTTCCACCAATTGAAGTGTCAATATTTTTTAAATAAAATAAACCCGTGAATAGAATTTTTGTCCACATAATATTTATGCGACGGAAAATAAACTGATGTTTTAAACCCCTCATCGTTACGGCAGCTAGTCGTACACGCACAAGATATAGAATTTCAGTACCTACTTATTATTATTGATAACTTTAAGAAAAATGCCTATAAAATGCTTGCAAATTTCAATGCAATAAAATAAATAAAAAAAATTAAAAATAAACAATTATAATATATTTAATTTGATTAAAAATAAATAATAATAATATCATGAATTCGAATAAAAATAAACATTAATAATATCTTGAATTCGAATAAGTTTGAGCGAATCAAAGGCCACTTTACGGCGTGGTGAATGAAGATCAAGCGTAGAGGGAACGATGCAGGTTCTCACAATTCAAATTTCCTTTTTAAATAAACATTGTTACGCTTTACCGAAGATCAAACTATACGCTTCCAGAGTTAAAAAATCAATACTATGAGATTTTTTTAGAGTGCCTTTTAATGGATGCAAATTACTGTCTTACGAGTGATTCTCCAAAAAATTATACTTGCATCAATACTCGTGAATTTCTGCTATAGAATCTAGAAATGTAATTGGTGATATTCCTATAGAAAAGTAGACAACCTCCCAAAATACCTGTCAGGTTAAGCAAATCAATCTATTCGCATTACACCTTTAAGAAATTTCCCACTATTTATTCTCATAATAAAGTGCTTCCATAGATTATTTACACTAACGGAGAAACGATTGATATGAGGTAAATATGTGAACTAGTTATTACAGCAAATAGAATATTTTAGAAAGGGACCTGCGGCTTACCCGAATGGGAAAGGTCATAGGGTACGAACGAGTTGTAACAGAAAGAGGGAGGAGGGAGGGAAAATTCGAATATTCGAATGGCAGGTAAAGACGAAAGGCTTTGGTTTGTCATAAAATGGGGGAATATTTTGAATAGCGGGCAAAGACGAAAGGTTTTTGGTTCGCCATAAAATTGTAGAAAATATTTTGAATGGTGGACAGAGACGAAAGGTTTTGGTTCGCCTTAAAAGAGGATATTTTGAATGGCGGTCAGAGACGGAAGGTTTTGGTTCGCCATAAAATTGTGGAATATTTTGAATGGTGGACAGAGACGAAAGGTTTTGGTTCGCCATAAAATAGGAGGATATTTTGAATAGCGGACAGAGACGGAAGGCTTTTGGTTCGCGAAAAAATGGGGGAAATTTTGAATAGCGGGCAGAGACGGAAGGTTTGTTTCAGCATGACGACGCTAGCATATGAATAGTTACAAATATCAAATTTTGCATGCATTAATGCCAGAAATTGGCAATAAACTAAGAAAAAAATAATGATGTTGAAAAGTTTGTGCAAATCCGATTGCCTGTCGAGCTATAATATTGTACAGTATTTTCTGCACAGTTGATTTTACATTAAAAAAGGCCTAATACTCGAAATGATGTGGGATAAAAATGAATTTAGAATTGCTTACCAATTGGATTTAATATTGAAAATAAACGAGCCTAATTTTGTTAACGGCAAACCATCAACGGCATCAATGTTAACATATTGATTTTGGTAATTTAGATTAAATGACTGTATAATTATATAAATTATAATATGTATAATAACCAAAATCACCGGTTGTATTTTAATATTTCAAACAGAACCGTGAGAAACGGATATGATGAAGTATTCAATTATTCGATTAAATTAGCTCTATTAATAAAAACTGCAAGACTTTCATGCCGACGCCAGTCGTGGAAGTCGAGCGAAACCACTTGATCCTAAAGCAGCATGAACTTCCGTCTATTTTAACGACATTTTATGAAGAACTAACGACTTAACTTCATAAATTAAAAGTTTTCAGTTTATTGTGATCAATGAACTTGATATCAAATGCTCCTCATATTAATTCTAATTATTTAAAACTTAAAGGATATTGATTATTGATTTGATTAACAAACCAAATTTAGCTTGACTTCACTCAAAATAGCGTTTAATAATCAACAATATAAATTATTAATAATCAAAAGTGAGTCGGTGAGTACCTCTACATCTCCATGAGGAAGATAAGACATAAATATACTTGATAAGAAATAAATATTGTTGAGTTATCTGAACAATTGTCTCACAAAAAATTAAACATTCGCTTATAAAATAATGCACAATAAAGCACAACGACAGCAATTGTTATACACAACAGATTTGTTCTCACCACGCAAAGTTGTCCAGTAGCTTGGGACCTGTCGTCATGGTGACCGGAATTAACTTTAACTTAAAATTACTTACCTTTCCCTGTAGAAACTACGACTTCTAAAGTGTCATACAATTGAATATATTATAATAAGCATAATAGAAACTACGAAATTGGAAGAATAAAATGTAACTTTTAAAGTGTCATACAAAGGAATATATAATAATAAGCATAATAGAAACTACGAAATTGGAAGAATAAAATTTAACTTCTAAAGTGTCATAAGAAGGAACATATTATAATAAGCATAAAAGGGACTACGAAATTGAAAGAATCGAATAAGCAGTATACTAAAAAACGCTAAAGGGGTGCTCATAAGAGGAAAAAACCCTAAGTGAGACTCGATTTCGAAATCGGATGTCTCCGGGTTTCTATCCCCGTCAAATATCAACAAAAAAGAATGTGTCCGCATCGCAATACTTATGGCTGGAAATTAAGCAAGAACACATTCTTGGAGGCCCATTAGTGTCTAGAAAATTGTGATAATTTTTACTAGTGAGCTTTAGCATGAGTTGTACATCAAGATACGGGCTATTTACAATCTGTTTAATTTATCAGTTATTTTATAAAGCAGTTGTCGAGGCTTCAGATGCAAACGAACGTCGAGAGCGCGTTACAAATAAGTTTAATAGCGAGCGGAAAATAAATAGAAACGAGATAGGATGAGAACGGGTAAAATTGACTTATCACTTGATTCGTGTAATAAGTTATAAGAAACAAGTAATCTAAAAAAGTGTCTCATAATAGTAAGCAGAGCGCTTCAAACATTTAAACGAAGATATTCTTGTTAATTACAATGCAGGAGGGTTGAAAATCGATCTAAAAGTACAATTTGTCCTAAATAATTTTTTTTGTGGCAGAGTTCAAGAAAATATTCTATAATCACAAAGCTTCAGTTAATTCTAAGCAAGAAAGAGTTTTAATAGAAAAAATTAATTCCTCTGTAATTAACTGAGCTTCAAGTGGAACTAAATAAAATAAGTTTGCCGACAATTAAGATCCTTCGTTTGCGATTTTTTTATTTGGGGAAAATTAAAATAGAATAATTATTTGTAGAAAATGTCAATGTAGAGGTTATTGAAGAAAATGTCTTGATGAAAAGCTGACTTCCCATAAATATGATCAACATAATGGACGAAGTAACAACACCAGCGACCTGATAATTGAGATCCCTCGATTGCAAATTTTTTTGATTGTATAAAATAAAAAGAGTAGAATATTTCTTTTTTGTAGAAAATGTCAATGTAGAGGTTATTGAAGAAAATCTGATAATTGAGATACCTAGTTTGCGAATTTTTTTGTTGTGGAAAATTAAATAGTAGAATATTTTTTTGTAGAAAATGTCATATGTAGAGGTTATTGAAGAAAATATCTTGATGAAAAGCTGACAGTCTTCCCATAAATTTGATCAACATAATAGACGCAGAAACAACACCAGTGACCAGATAATTGAGATCCCTCGATTGCAAATTTTTTTATTGTGGAAAATTAAAATACTAGAACAATTTTTGTAGAAATGTCAATGTAGAGGTTATTGAAGAAAATGTCTTGATGAAAAGCAGTCTTCCTATAAATTTGGTCAACATAATAGACGCAGCAACAACACCAGCGACCAGATCCTCGCAGTAGCAGACACTAACTTTAACTGCACGCCTGTCGCGGAGAAGCCCTCCGCGTTCACAGGGAAAGCATGTCGTGCTAATCCATTCAAGTCGTCAGCTCTGATTCATAATCCTTCGTAATTTGTCTCTACGTACGGAAAACTCGAACCCATGTCGTGAACCTGCTTCATAGTCCTTTGTTATTTGTTCCCACGTACAAAAATTACTCGAACATACGATGTGAACCCGTTCTTGATCTACACCATTGCTCAAACTGGGTAACTTTTTAGGGTAACAAATTTTTATAGATTTATATTAACACTAGATTTATTTCAAAGGTGTAGATTTCTCTCGATCGGATCGCATCTTTACTATCGCGACTAATCCTTACGAAACTATTTGCCACTGGAAGACAAATATACATTAATCTTCTATTTGCACAAAAAAAGGCCTTTAAAAATTCACGAGTAATATTTAATATTTTTGCTAATTAATTTAGAGATTATGTCATAATTTTTCCACAAAAAAATACTCATTCCCTTAATTTTTTCATTCCACCCAGCATTAAAAACACTGAGGTGGTCAGTACCATCCAACAAAACCGAAGTTTTTTCATTATTTCTCTATTGTTACGGATTGCATTTATTCCGTAAAAATAAATGTCGTCAATACGTTGTCAAAAATTTAGGTGTAATTGTTATGTTTCTAGGGAGCGGAAAATAGGGAGTAGTTATTGTTATAGTCCTGAAGTTTAGAATACAAACTGTTCTTTATCTGCGAGGCACAGGAACGAAACACGAAATTTCAGCAACGAAACTGCAAAAGATGAATAATACGAACGAAAAAAAGATGAATTTAAAAGAAAAAGGATCTTTAGGAACTGAATAGTGAAAGAGATTATGACGCACAGTACAATGACTCACCATGAGGCAGTGTCAGCAGCACTCACCATGAGGCAGAGCAGAGGCAGAGCAGCAGTGTCAGCAGCACTCACCATGAGGCAGAGCAGCAGTGTCAGCAGCACTCACCATGAGGCAGAGCAGCAGTGTCAGCAGCACTCACCATGAGGCAGAACAGCAGTGTCAGCAGTAGTCAGAGATGTGGCGATGTCAGCTCGAGGCACGTCAGCGATCTTCTCAGATGTCTGAGTGAACTCGTCTGTCCAAAAACATACAAAAAATTATTGATATTATATATCAATTAATATTAATATTAATAATCATCAAATTATTAATAATCGTGTTTCTAAGATATTAATAATCATCAAATTATAAATTTATTTCTTAGATTATTGATGTTTTACGTTGATCTCAGTCTCACCGTAATCTCAGTCTTTCAAAGTTACCCCTAAGAAATTTTGAATTTTTTTTCGCTTTATTTTCCGAAATTTTACCCTTATGAAATTTCATCGATTGGCATAAAGCAAAGATGCAGAATTCAATCCCGCTTTATTTTAACTGTTAATAAACGTTCAAAAGATGTTTAACACGTGGATAGCTTTCAATATTTTCTTACGATTCAAAATATGCAGGGAGAATCGCAGGTTTTTCTGATATGATGAAAATACAAATCTCCATTTTATTTTGTAGATTTTTTTAAGAGTCGTGATCGTTTTTTAATCATTAAATAACAAAAATCAGATTACATTGCATATAACAAATTCTCACTAAATAACAGTAATTGATTAAATTATCAAATCAAAATATAAAAAAAATAGATAAAAAAACGAGACATTAATAAATACGATAAAAAATTAATACAATTAAGAAATTGTAAAAAGCAACTACATAAAAAATAAAATAAAATGAATACAAAATGAATAATGAATTTTAAGATATAAAAAACAACAACAACATAAAAAACAACAACATCATAAAAAATAGTCTGTCCAACTCTTCATAGTTTCCAGAAGAAGCCAAACCCGGACAGTTTTTATGTTCCGTTCTTTATATATAACAACGTTGGCCTCAATGCGCTAATGCTATTATGGCGAGAGCGAGACATGGCTTCTTGGCACGAGTCTCAGTGTTAAGAAACTTTCTAGTTCATACAACATGCAAATGAATTAGTATTAAATGAATTATCTGAATGAGACTACAGCCGTAATTTAATTTGATGATATTTCACATGGTTGATTTCAGCATCGATAGGTAATTTGAATTGTGCGCGTATAACAGATATCATTTATAATGATATCGGTTAATATTTTTGAAATTGTAACAGAAATTCAGTTTTCAAAGAACCAATCTGGTCTTTTTCAGATGGTCATTTAAGTAACAATTGAAAAAAATTCTTCCTATTCAAATTATTATTTTAAGTACCTAACAAATAAATATATCACCGAATTGGAATAATGAATTCACGATTTCAGAAGAATATCTCACGAATTATTCTAATCATCAATTAACATCACCAATGTTACCAATTACCAAATGAAAATTTCTAATACTTATAGAAATCTGGGTACAGCTATGGCCGAGCAACATTAAACATGAAACGACCGTAGATGTAACATAATATTAATAATCAACACGACATGCCTAAGCAAATAAATATAAAGCGACTGTACAGTTGGTTTATTACAATTAAATTGTTTTAATTTAATTGTACAATTAAATTGTTAATTGTTTATTACAATTAATCGGCAAGACATGCATATTGCACAAAGTTTATTACTATTAATTGGCTAGAAATGCACATAGCACAAGCAATCAAACATAAATCGACCGTAGGTGAATTAAGTCGATATTATTAATTGACACAATATGCACTTAATATAAGACAAACTATTAAAGCACTATACAGCACTAATTGTAAAACACAGCAACACGTATTGCATGCATCGCGCACACGAAGCTTTTGCTATCAAATCCAGGCAAAAAAATTCAATGCAATTTTAACCAGGCTTTGAGTACGTAATCACATTAAGGCAATTAATCAATATAGTAAGCATCAGGGTTTAAATAAGATCATCACAAGAGTTAGGTTTAATGCTAAGCAATAACTTGTCAGCTGAGCAGAACTAGTTACAGGGTAACTTTTCTATACCCAACGGACAGGAACATATAAAGCCGCATCACAGTCACAGGCATAATCGCGAGACGCATCCGATTAAAGTACCTGGGATGTTTTCGAACATTTCTTCGGTAGCGGGAACATTGGTCGAAGTTGATGTTACAGTGGTAGTGGTTACAGTGTGAATAGAGCCTCCGTCGGGAGTTTCTTCGGTGGTCTCAGATGTGGCGAGTGTTGTATTTGTTTCGAGTGGAATTTTTGATTCCGTTTCAATTGTACTTGAAATAGGTTGTGCAGTTTCAGTGGGTTTGAGATCCACTCCAGTCGTTTCAGAAGCATCAGCTTCAGTAATCGGTTGTGCAGTTTCAGTGGCTTTGAGATCTTCTTCAGCAGTTTCAGAAGCATCAGTTTCGGTAATCTGTTGTGCAGTTTCAGTGGCTTTGAGATCATCTTCAGCTGTCTCAGCAGCAACAACTTCGGTGATAGGTTGTTCGACTTCACTAGTTTCGACAAGCAACGGTACGACTTCAGATTTTTCCATGGATATCGGCGCAAAATCAGCGACTTCAGATGGAATCGTTGATGTTGGACTAGCCTCCGAAATTGATACGTCTTCAAGACCTCCAGACTGTGCGGTATCAGCTAGTTTGCGCGATGCAGGAGGAGTGTCGACGATCTGATAAAAAGTTGCTGCTGCACCTCCTTGATTTCGGGGCAAGACTTTGAAGTCATCTTCCTGAACTGAGTGTCGATCAGCTGCCGCAACGACTTCTGTACCAACCAACAGAAGCAGAACTTAACAGAAATCAATTTGATAAATTATGTTGAAACCCATTGAGAATGGGGACAGCCATGATAACGCAGTTTTTTGCTGACCTTTGCAGACACAAAGAACTTTACCAGATTGCCCAGATTCTAAACCGAATTGGCGGGAAATGTTCTAATGTGCAAACATGCTTATTGCAATGAATCTTAAACAATTGAGTTCAACCAATAGATTCTACGGAGTTGCTCAGAGCACAAACTAACCCGAGATATACCCATCTACTTCTACGATGGATGCGCTGGCATTGTGCAAAGTTTTACAACTCATTAACGTAAATTTTTAAACAAAGTACACGATTTAATACGAAAAATTGCTTATTGATTTAAACCTCATGCAGACTGGTTATTGGCCTCATGCAACCCAAAGTGAAACTTATCAACGTATGCCATCGAGAAGTGCTACACTTCATTCCTGTCTGTGCAAAGATACGTCGGTGCACATAAAACATGAAGTGATTCGAGAATCCATATTAATTGGTGATCCGTATTAATTGGAGATCCATAATAATCCATTTTAATTGGAAATCCATATTAATTGGAGATCCATATTAATCCATGTTAATTGGAGATCCGTATTAATTGGAGACTCATATTAATTGGAGATTTATATTAATTGGAGATCCATATTAATTGGAGATCCATATTAATTGGAGATCCATATTAATTGGAGATCCACATTAATTGGAGTCCATATTAATTGGAGATTGTTTGTGACTATTTCTGTCATAAGAAAATCGAAGATAGCCGACTATAAGCCCCATATCATTATGAGTGATGATTGCAGAAGTCAACACAATATCGCCATGGCAAATGCTTGCGGAAAGCAAATCATCACAATAAAACTACATCGATGAAGTGGTCAATAATTCTCATCCTGGTACTCAAGACACTCAGAGAAATGAATGAGAAATTGTTCAAAAAGTGATACACTTTTTACCCTACTGTGGGCTTGACCTAATTTGGCCCGGAAAAGTATACGTGTCAGTGCAACATACAGAAAGTGTAGCACTTTTTGCACAAAACTGATCCATTTTCTGAGTGAACAATACATGAATTATTTATTTATTATTCTTAGTGAATAATAATAATAATAATAATAATAATAATAATAATAATAATAAAGGTAAGTGAAATAGCAGCCGAATTATCAAGGCTCATGGCCCAGAAAGTAACGTGAGAGGTCATGCGTGTCGCGTGAATGCTACTTTATTACGTCCTAATTTACTCACTAAGTGGTAAATTCGAGCAAATTTAATCATCGATATCGAAGACTGCAGTCCAATTTACCCAATAACGATGCTATAACGACCGTGCAAATTAAATTAAGTAAATTATTATTACCTTCATCGGGCTGTGCAGCTTTTCTTTTCTCCTTGAAAGTTTCTTCAAGTCGGTCATCAAGTTTGCCAAGTTCCTCTCCAAGTTTTTGGAGCATGTCGGACTTGGCACTAGGATCGGAAGGACTCAACTTCTTCATTTGTTCATCAAATATTTGTGCATCTTTTCGCTGTTCCAGGACAATCTTTTCTTTGACAGCCGAAGCGTCGTCGTCGTCTACGATGAAAGACCTCCGTTCTGTGGTCTTGGTCGTAATGATTGACTGGCTTCCGTCATCGAAAGTTCGCTTCGTCACGACTTGTTCAGAATCTCTGAGAAACGAAGAAGGTTCATCTGAAGACTCAACTACGGTTTTAGTAACAGTAGTTTTAGTGATGGCATCTCCGTCTCGAACAATCGTCGTGGTGGTAACGGTCTCATCTTCTGGTTCTTCTCTGACTTTGGACACGATAGTTTTGACGAACTCTTCTTCAACGACTTCCTTACCAGCGTATTCTTCTGGGACTTTTTCGGTAACCGGAGCGTGGACGATCTTATGGAACTTTTGATCAAACTCTCCCTCTGTATCTTTAAGGAATTCGTCCACTAGGTCTTGTGATATGCCGGACTGAACGGTTTTTGGTTCGGCAGGGAAAACTTTCTCTTCGGCCGCGTACTTTTTCTCTTCGCTTTCGTACGTGGGCGAGAGGTCGGAAGCTGGTTCTTTCCCTAGAGTGGGGAAGTTAGGGAATCACATGGATGCCACTACGAAAATTAGTACAAAGATTATTTTTTGAAACTGCCAGCGGTTTCATAGCTTATATGAAAATTTCCTATTTTTTTCGAAGTTTTAGAGCCATGAATAAAGCCTGACCGAAAATTTGGGGAGAGAATTATTTGAATTTCGGGATTTCGGTTTACAGGAAGGAGTGTCGAACCCAGAATAGAAAGCGATTTAATTGATTGCATCGAAGGCACTACTAAGATTTTTTTCTGAAAATCTCCGATTTTAGCGACTCTGAAGCAAATGATGGATTCATAAAATAGTATACGTGGTCTTTTCTTATGTATTCATTCAGAAAAATGTCCCGTTCTAACTGATTCTATAACTCAGAGCCATATTTCGGATTTACACATTAAGATGTGACAATAGAATTTTAGTAGTAAATACATTTAGTATTTAGGATTGACTTCAATCGAAATGAGCTCAAAATAATAACAAAATTAGTTTAGTGGAAGCTTGTCCATTGGATATAATCTGATGGAATGTTTACCACTCAAAAGTAATTTTGAAGACATTATTATTTACACTTGTATTTTGTGTGTAAAACTGTTGAAGCAATTCACAGCTAAGAGCGCGTGAGTATTCATTTAATATTAATATATTTTTTACAACCGAGTTTATTCTCCACATATGCGAAAACAATTTATTTGTAAGTCCTCAAATCCCCAAAAATCTGCCAAGTCGAAGCTCAACAAAATGGCAAGTCTTGTAAACTTACGCGATGTTACTAACGTTCAAGTATGGCAAAGAAAAATAATTAATAGTTAATTAGTTATTTATAAATAATAAATAATTAATAATAATTAATATGAATAGTTATGATGTTCGTAAAGGAAGCTTGAAGATATGCTTCAGTGAAGTATATCCTGATGTATTTGTCACTCCAATTTGAATAGAAAAAGGATGGTCTCGTGGAAGGCAACTTTCTCCAAATAAAAAAAAAAGAAAGTTTATGGGATAGTTACCATGGTAACCACTTCTTTTAAATGCCCAATTTGATCATAACGCTTTTACAATTCACGAATAATTCAAATTACCGGGATTGCCATTTCATTGTATAGATTATTAATGTAGAGCTGATTACAAAATAAACGACAGCGATATATAATGAAATAGGAAAATATATAAATATGTGATGGGAATAATAAGCACTCATGTACGTACGTCAACTCATGAGTTTTCATTAAGATACGGAGTAGAAAAAAAATTAATCTTGAATTTTAAAATGAAGAAAATACTAGGAGTTGAATGGAAATAGAGTTGAAAACTATATCTTCGTCAACAGATGAAAACTCAATACGAGCATATGAAAAAAATATTAAATGTCTTAATTACCCTTTACGACAAATTAAAAAAAAAACAGATTTAACACAAGTTTTCGAATTTTCCTTCTAACTTAAAGGAAGAAATATATCGCTTGTGATTAAATAATGAAAATAATTAGGTTTCCAAACCAGATCGTACAAATAAATGCACCTGTCGCGATATACGGAAAAAAAATAAAGAGCGACTCTGTAAGTAATTAAATAATTGTTTGCAATCTTTCACATGGAGGGCAAACCGAAAAAATCCAAAAAAAGTTCCACTTTTCCCAAAAAATTGATTGAACAACTGAAAACATATGCCTTGTTTATTCAAGTCAGATTAAAAAACAGGGAAAATAAAGGTATGAGCCTAGTTTTTTCAAGTGAGAGTTAAAAAAAGAGGGTTAAATTTACGCGTTTGAATCCCACAAAACTGGATTGAACAACTGATAGTATAGGTCTTGTTTATTCAAGTCAGATTAAAAAACTGAAAAAATAAAGGTATGAGCCTAGTTTTTTTCAATTTACAGTGAAAAAGAGGGTTGAATTTACGCGTTTGAATCCCACAAAATTGGATTAAACAACTGAAAGTAAAAACCTTCTTTATTCAAGTCAGATTGAAAATCAGTTGAACAAATAAAGGTATAGGCCTAGTTTTTTTCAAGTTAGAGTGAAAAAAATGGTTAAATTTACGCGTTTGAATACCACAAAATTTGATTAAACAACTGAAAGTAAAAACCTAGTTTATTCAAGATAGTTATACTTGAATAAACTTGAATGTAGACTACTTTTGTCTACAAAAAAAAAAACCGAAAAAAAAGGTATGAGCCTAGTTTTTTAAATTTACAGTAAAAAAGAGGGTTTAATTTACGCGTTTGAATCCCTCAAAATTACAATGTATAACCACACCAGGGAAATAAAGTTATAATAAATAATCTTACCCTGATACGTAGTCTGCTTGTGATCGTCGTCGACAGCGCTGCCCGGCACCTGTTTCGTAAAAATTGTTCTGTTTTAAATATATTTACGTTCGACATAAAATTTTAAAATTCAAATTCAAGAAAATCAATAAAAAATGTAATTTCTATCAAAATTTCATATACACATTAATGTTGAAAACAATAGCAATCTTTACATATTTAAATTGTAAATATTTTTTCCGGAAACACTTTCGCCTTCGACAAGAACGATAATCGATAATCAAATATCATGATGCATAAATTGCACCTTTCTCATAGCTAGGGCCGTTTTTTCGGTGGCCAAAGATGCATTAGTAACCATATCCTCACTGCCATGGTCGTCTTTTCGGCGACCAAAGACCCATTACTTACCACGTCCTGCTGGCCATGGTCGTCTTTTCGGCGGCCAAAGACCCATTACTTACCACGTCCTGATGATCATGGTCGTCTTTTCGGCGGCCAAAGGCGCATTAGTTACCCCGTCCTGCTGGCCATGATCGTCTTTTCGGCGGCCATGGTCGTCTTTTCAGCGACCATGGTCGTCTTTTCGGCGGCCAAATACACATTACTTACCCCGTCCTGCTGGCCATGGTCGTCTTTTCGGCGGCCAGAGACGCATTACTTACCACGACCTCGTGGCCATGGTCGTCTTTTCGGCGACCATGGCAGTCTTTTCGGCGACCATGGCCGTCTTTTCGGCGACCATGGTCGTCTTTTCGGCGACCATGGCCGTCTTTTCAGCGACCATGGTCGTCTTTTCAGCGGCCAAATACCCATCACTTACCACGTCCTCATGATCATGGTCGTCTTTTCGGCGGCCAAGTTGGGGCGAGTCGGCGACGACGGAAGAGTCAATCTGAGCCTTGGCAACAGCTCGCTCCTTGTCGTCGGTGACAGGCTCGACGTTGAAGATACATTTGTTGACTATGTCAACTCTGTTGATCTGGCGCAGAGCTTGCTCCAGAGCGTTGCCAGTTGCCTGCCACACACCCAGAGTTGATTATAATGAAAAGTCAAGACATTTTAATGAAGAATAAGAAGTTAAACATAGAGAGAATTTATTCAAAAGATGCATTTGTTGACTATGTCAACTCTGTTGATCTGGCGCAGAGCTTGCTCTAGAGCGTTGCCAGTTGCCTGTCACACACCCAGAGTTGATTATAATGAAAAGTCAAGACATTTTAATGAAGAATAAGAAGTTAAAACATAGAGAAAATTTATTCAAATGGCTTACTGCCAGAGCACTACTTTTATTTCTGCCAAAAGCCTTCATGTCTCAGGAAAATTACTTGATTAATTTGCTGCTAACGCTCAGAATTCTGAGCACTCTGAGTCCAGAGTCAGAGCACTCATTCGCTACTCCAAGTCCAGAGTCAGAGCACTCATACGCTACTCCAAGTCCAGAGTCAGAGCACTCATTCGCTACTCCAAGTCCAGAGTCAGAGCACTCATACGCTACTCAGAGTCGAGAGTCTGAGCACTCATTCTCTACTCCAAGTCCAGAGTCAGAGCACTCATACGCTACTCTGAGTCCAGAGTCAGAGCACTCATACGCTACTCCAAGTCCAGAGTCTGAGCATTCATACGCTACTCTGAGTCCAGAGTCAGAGCACTCATTCGCTACTCCAAGCCCAGAGTCTGAGGCACTCATTCGCTACTCCAAGTCCAGAGTCTGAGCACTCATTCGCTACTCCAAGTCCAGAGTCAGAGCACTCATTCGCTACTCCAAGTCCAGAGTCAGAGCACTCATTCGCTACTCCAAGTCCAGAGTCAGAGCACTCATTCGCTACTCCGAGTCCAGAGTCAGAGCACTCATTCGCTACTCCGAGTCCAGAGTCTGAGCACTCATTCGCTACTCCAAGTCCAGAGTCTGAGCACTCATACGCTACTCTGAGTCCAGAGTCAGAGCACTCATTCGCTACTCCGAGTCCAGAGTCTGAGCACTCATTCGCTACTCCAAGTCCAGAGTCAGAGCACTCATACGCTACTCCAAGTCCAGAGTCTGAGCACTCATACGCTACTTCAAGTCCAGAGTCTGAGCACTCATTCGCTACTCCAAGTCCAGAGTCTGAGCACTCATTCGCTACTCCAAGTCCAGAGTCTGAGCACTCATACGCTACTCCAAGTCCAGAGTCAGAGCACTCATTCGCTACTCCAAGTCCAGAGTCAGAGCACTCATACGCTACTCAGAGTCCAGAGTCAGAGCACTCATACGCTACTCCGAGTCCAGAGTCAGAGCACTCATTCACTGCTCTGAGTCCAGAGTCAGAGCACTAATGCTCAGCTCACCTTGTTGCCTGCGCTCTGCATCCAGAGTCTGAGCATAACGAGCGCCTGCTGAGCATCGTTGTCTGGGTACTGGGACTTGATGATGTTGATGTCAGAGTCCCCGACATCAAGACCCCGGGCCAGAGCCACCCAGTCCCCGCTCAGCATGTTCGAGATGTCAGACAGACGTAAGTCCGCCTTGTGGATGGTGTCCGCCTTACCTGTACGTTATTATATTGTATTAATGAATAATATTAAATTTAATGCCTTATTATTGTATTAATGAATATTAAATTTCTAATTAAATTGAATTATTATAATTATTAATTAATGTTAATCAAGCCTAAACTCCGCTTTGTGGATGGTGTCCGCCTTACCTGTACGTTATTATATTGTATTAATGAATAATATTAAATTTAATGCCTTATTATTGTATTAATGAATAATATTAAATTTTTAATTAAATTGAATGATTATACTTATTCATTAGTGTTAATCAAAACGCAGCTCCGCCTTGTGGATAGTGTCCGCTTTACCTGTACGATATTATATCATTGTATTATTAAATAATATTAATTAAATTGAATAATTATAATTATTCATTAATGTTAATTAATGATTATAATTATTTATTTTTAATCAAGCCTAAACTCCGCTTTGTGGATAGTGTCTGCCTTACCTGTACGTTATTATATTTTTATATTATCAAATAATATTAATTAAATTGAATGGTTTAATTACTCATTAATCTTAATCGAGACGAAGGTCCGCCTTGTGGATGGTGTCAGCCTTACCTGTACGTTATTATATTATTGTGTTATTAAATAATATTATTTAAATTGAATGATTATAATTATTCATTAATCTTAATCAAGCCGCAACTCCGCCTTACAGCGTTATTACATAATTGAATCATTGTATAATATTGAGTAACTTACATGATTTGCTTATTAATATAAATTAATAATGAATAAATAATATTTATACATTAATAATCATTCTGTCGGGGATCATGAGTAGTAAACTCGTGTGAATTAATCACGGAGAAAAATATGACTGTAAATTAAATGAATATTAAATTAAATATGACTGTGAATAATCATAAGTCATGAATTTTAATGAAGCATTGCACAACTGGAATGACAGGATTTGAATAAACATTGAAATTTGATTTGCAAATTGGTATATCTGAATTTATTTTGGAAAGAAAGGAAATTTTTTCTCCTTTTTGAATTGAGAGTCAAATTAGAGTTTTATGTTCTACGAGATCAAGTTTGTGTACTTGAAATTATTAAAATACAAGGATTTGAGAATAGAACTTCACAATGAACTATGGTTCCATAAATACTATAATACTAGACTATATCAATGTATAGTTTAATTCATAACTCATTAGGCGGCATCTAAAATAGGTACAGATTAGCTACAATTTGTGAAACATTACTTATAGTTTAGGCACCTATATATTTCGGCAGTAAGTTAGTTCATAGAAGGAAAAATTGTTTTAATATAATATTAATAATAGCATATGTAAGAAAAAATATATACTTTCTGTAGGTAATGTCGCTTATAATTAGAAATTTCGTATATACAATTGCCGAAAAACAACTATAATGGAACATAAAAAATAACCAACAAAGCGAAATAATTAGCAACAAATTTTAATTTAAAAAGAAAGTAAATGCATGCAAAATTAGTTTCTTCGGCTGAGTTAACTTGACTAAAATTATTATTGTTAATATTATTGTTAACGCTGAAGAAATGTCGAAAAATTCAACATGATAGCACATGAAAAATAATTATGCTTAAGCTATAGATTGGCTGATAAACTATTTCTTATTGAAAAAATCATTTGAATCTTTCGAGTATGAACTTTCAGATCCAGACATATGTTAATTCATGTTAATTCACAAAAAAAAAAGCCTCAACAAACTCGGTTTTATTCAAACATTATTCATTCTACGCATGAGCAAACCGAACCCAACGCGTTAACACGCATTCAAAAATGAATCAATCAATATTAGTATTGATTGATTCATTTTTGTTCATTCATTATTGATTCATTCATTATTGATTGATTCAAAAATGAATCAATAGTAGTATCGCCTAAAAAAATTACATTCTATCGCATTCGATATTTCCCTAAATATTAAAAACTTTTCATGTACAATTCTTATTTATTCCCGATAAAACCTTATTTATGTCTGAATAACCTCAACATCTCTGGACGTTGAATTAAATTTCAATAAAATTTAAGGAATCGAAATTCATGTTTCGTTAACGAGTGTCGGAACGGAATTCGAAGATGACATTTCTTCAGTACGACTAACATTAGCGCAAAGAGGAGAAATACTTGAAGGTAGAACTACACTGAGACATTTTAGTTTGATTTTACACGACAGTGTGGACACAACGTCTCGGCAATGATTGAGAAGCTTAAAGCAGTGACTGTATTTTCCAAAAATAAGTAGGAAAATTTTAATTTTTTTTTTAAATCAATGCGGCGACTTACTTACTAACGGGTTTTAATTTCATAAAAATATGGACTAGCGATGCGATATCCTCTAGATTGTTTCGCCAGGCGCTATTCAAAAAAATATTGTAGCAAAATAAAATTTTTCGTATGATTTTATGCTTGACGATTTTTCTCTAGTTTGTTTTATGCAGTTAGTGGCATTCACGTGAGTTTTCTAAAAGGATGAACTTTAGACTAAAATATATTTTGTAAACTGGGTATATTTACGTAAACTGGATACTTATAATTTTATATTTATCTATTTAAAATAATATTAACAGGTATAGAAGAGTAGCTCTTCAAAACTAATAAGTTATTTAGGCGGTCAGGCAGTGAGTTCACAACTAATCAAAATTTAAAAAATATTTTTTAAAATTAAACACGCTTCAGGTTATTGCACAGCAAAGGCCGCTCACCTCTAGCGTCAGCATTTTATTCTCTGCCTCCGGATATTCTTATGGTCAGGTTCCAATAATTTTGATTCAACTTTGATTTTCTGATTCAAAAATTCAACTCTGGAAAGTTTCATGTCCAAATTATCATATTCCACTTTTCTATGACCGGTAATTGCCTTTTCTATGACCGGTATTTGCTTTCTACTGCCTTATAAAAATGGGCTGAGAATTTCTTTTTCTGAAAAAATGTCTGAGAATTTTTCTCTAGACGAAATTCATCTTTCGGCTAGAGGAAGAGTTTCGGGTTTCAATCAATATATCTTACTTGACCCTTTTAAACTTGAAAAATTTGTGAGAAAATTCAAGTCTTTTCCATAGAGTTTAAAATAATAATAAAATAATAATTATATATTTGAATATCAGCGTTGAATAGATAGCCACGTTTAGCCTTTCGTCGATTTTAGCAATCACAGTTTTCACTGCTAGCTGGGTATCGAACCCGCACTGGTCCGATCTTGCTGTTCCAAATCGTCGCAATGAGATTAAGAAATGTTTTGCTTCGCTGTGTGATGAACGTAGTGGTGTTCATCACCACCCATTGAAGTCGAAGAAATCTCAGGTTTTGCGATCGCTTCAGCTTTGTAAAATTTATTTCGTTGAACAACGATAGTTGAATTTTACACTTGAAACGCTCGAATGATAATAATTCTAATTACGTTGGGCTCGGTTTTGCTCCTGATTAGTTGTGTTATAGGAGAAGGTTTAATCAATGTATTTGTTAGATATTTATCAATGATTAAATTGAATAGGATATTGTTAATAATAAGTATATTAGGCGGTACGTGGTAAATAAGATGTAATGAGGGTAGTTGCAGGCTTATTTTTTTTAGTAAGGATTATGGATCTATTAAATCTTGATTATTATTATTTAAAGTTTTATAAACAAGGCGTTGAAACTAAATGTTTCAGCAATAAACAAACAAAAAATACTTAGTGATAAAAAGCAATTAGAAGTTAAAGTACGAAATAATTATTAATCGTTGCACCATAATTTTGTTAACGAATAATTGGAAACATTTTTCGCCTCTCTGCCATGTAGGAATCGTTTCGAATAAAAACCAAGTGGAGAATAAATTGAGGAAGGGTAACAGCGCTACAGGTAACTACAGACAATCTTCAAAAGGATGTTTTCTGCTCAAAAAAAAATCTTTGCAAATTTTCTAGAGCTAAACAAATTACCGATAATTACAGACAATCTTCAATGGATGTTTGTGCTAAATTTTTTTTTTGCAAATTTCTAGAGCGAATTAAACAAATTAACGGCTTCACAGAAAATATGTTGACACGGATTCAACACCAAGTTAGTGAATAATGTATAAAAGAGGAGCAGAAACCATCATTGTCTAATTGTCGTCTATTGAGGCTATATATCCCAGTGAAAATTTACAGACGCGGCAGCTTCTGATTTGGATTACCAGAAGCTGGGGCGACTCTAAATTTTGTTAGGCTAGGTTACCTAGGTTAAGCTAGGTTACCAGGATTAGGGGAGAATAGTGGCTACTGAAGTGTCTTATACAGACTCATTGCGCTCGGGCAGAGTATTTCAAAAGTTTGCATTTCAACGGGTAGGCATTAAATAGAACAGTCAATCATCAGAGCTGGATAGTATATGCATTTGTTATCACTCATATCGTGACTCAGAATTACATGTATAATTACTCAATACTGATCAATTTTTGGTTGTCAAAAATACCTAAGGTTTGACCATAGAGGCTCACGTATTTACTAACAATTCATAGGGCAAAGTCTGACTAATTTTCTATCGGAATAGTATTCACTGCCAGAACGCAAAGGATCTCTAATCACAACCTTAAGGAAAGGAAATAGTAACACCTGAAATGGATTAAGCGTTATAGGGCAAAATAATAGCAAATAACTACAGCAAGCAACTAAAACTGATACACGGTCAAGCTCCGAACTCGGACCCGATGACCCCTGAATTGCGATACAATTTCTCTTTGATAGACAATGAAAATTGAAGAGAACATATTTAATACAATTAAAAATGTACCGAGAGCAGCCTTTCATAATTTTTGTAAATTTTTGTACAGCCGAAAAATGGTCTAGAAATTTCCCACATGTTTCTAAACGGACAATCTTAATCAATAGTTAGAAATACGAATCGATGGGTTTATCGAGTACCGAAAATCACCAAAGAACCGTATATACTTTATCAATTATTTCCTAAACAGAGTTGAAAAAGGCCGGATATTGACAATGTGTTTACATTGACATTGCAAACAGTTGAATATTGAAAATGGCTGGACGATAATAAGGCAGGATATTGTAAATGTAAACTTGAACATTGAAATCAGTTGAATATTGATAAAGGCTGGACGTAATTACGCGCTACTCACTTATAGAGAGAAAAGTGTACTTCTTCTCGAGCGAAAGGAGATCGGGTTCGGATGGGGCCGGCTCGGGTAGAATAGTGTCGGGTAATTCAAGGTTGAGGTTACAAATAGGATTTTGTGGAGCATCACCTCGCCCAACCTGTAATGGAGGCGCTTTTAGTAAATTTGAAACTAGTTCAACATAACGCTTGTTGTGGCCGACCTGTGGGAGGAAGGAATGCGTTACTAATAATTATTTAAGGAGCGTGTAAAACTTTATGGAGAGTGTAAAAGTTAATGCAGCGTACCGTATTTTTCTGCTTATTCTCAGCAACTTTAATTTAAATCAATTTCTTTTAGTTTGAATAAAGAATAATTTATTTTAGTTGAAGTTAATTCAGATGGATTTAATGATCCCTAATGAGTAAATTTAAATACATTCTTAGCAGAGTGCACTATTGCACTAAAGGATGTACTAAACTATTTTAACTATTTTACTAAAGGCACGTGGTAAAAACTGGTGGCTTCACTAAACATTAACCATTAAAAAAATCAAGGAAAAATGTTCATTTACCACATAACGATTAACCCACTGCAGAAAAAAAACAATGATTAATTTGTAAATTTGCTTATTTTTGAAGACCATCAGCAGGTTAAAGCCAGATTGATGATGTGCAAGCGATCTCATAATGTTTGCATTATAAATTCACCAGCGCGTTGATGTTAACTGCCTACATCAAAGCTGGAGACGTTGTATTGAGCGGCCAGTTCCAGCGCTTATGGCGTTATATAATATTCGGTGTAGAACGACTTTGTGGGACAGTCTGGAATTGAGATAATTTACTTAGACTGTCATCCATGTCCAAAGATTTCCCGTAGGCTGTCACCCAGGTCTCACTAGTTCCCGTAGACTGTCACCCAGGTCCCACTATAGTTCCCGTAGACTGTCACCCAGGTCCCACTATAGGTCACGTAGACTGTCACCCAGGTCCCAATATAGTTCCCGTAGACTGTCACCCAGGTCCCGCTTTAGTTCCCGTAGACTGTCACCGAAGTCCCACTAGTTCCCGTACACTGTCACCCAAGTCCTACAAGATCCCGTAGACTGTAACCCAAGTCCCACTAGTTCCTGTAAATATGTAGTCTCCCAAGTTCCAAGGTGTCCCGTAAACGATACAAAGATTTACCGCTAGTTATTTAACAAGGTTCACCTTAGGCTGTCTCATAAAGGCGACTCTGCCAACAGGTTCAGCATGCTGATCCTTGACTCTGACAGTGAAGGGGAGTCTGTTCTCCCTAAAGGCGTAGAAGTTGAAGGAAAGTTGATCGCCAGACTTGGTCACTGGCACAATATTGCCTGCAAACTCCAAGTACTGCGTCTTGCCTTCTAGCACCTCAACGTCGCGAGACTTGGCCACCTGAACATTAAGTGAGAGAAGAGGGGGTGAACGAAGTGGCCACCTGAACATTAAACGAGAGAAGAGGGGGTGAACGAAGTGGCCACCTGAACATTAAATGAGAAAAGAGGGGGTGAACGAAGTGGCCACCTGAACATTAAGTGAGAGAAGAGGGGGTGAACGAAGTGGCCACCTGAACATTAAGTGAGAGAAGAGGGGGTGAACGAAGTGGCCATCCGAACATTAAATGAGAGAAGAGGGGGTGAACGAAGTGGCCATCCGAACATTAAATGAGAGAAGAGGGGGTGAACGAAGTGGCCATCCGAACTTAAATGAGAGAAAAGGGGGTGAACGAAGTGGCACCCGAACATCAAAAAGGGAGAACGATTGTTTCATCCTCGACAATAACAAAATGTTTACATTATAATTTATATAGATAAACTATAATATAATGTGTATAATATTTTGGCAATTATTCATAAAAATAACACTAAACTACCGACCTCAGCGAAATTCTCTTGACACTCGAGCGTCTTGTCTTCTCTGTCGTCGGTCATGCAAAAGACTCTCAGCCTCGCTTCTTCTTGCTGATGTCTTTTGGCGAACACAACAAACTTGGACATGAAGGGAACATGAATGGCCTCCCGGTAAAGTTCGGTGGCCATTCGTGTGGCCTCAGGAATATTCGTGCAGTCCATGAGCCAGAACCTGGCTGACACGGTGGTCGTGAATGACACGCAGTCATTCACGAATGTCAGCGGCGTAGATCCCGTGACATCCTCCCACTGGGCGCGGGTTGTTCCACCTGGAGCGGGTCATTGGGTACGATAAATAACAATCAGGGTACTATAAATAACCTTCATTGAGTATTGGATAATATAGATATATATAATAAATTAAAGTGGGGCATTGGGTACGGTTAATCACCTTCAATGAGTATTGGATAATATAGATATATAGATATATATAATAAATTGATGTGGGCATTGGGTACGATAAATTACCTTCATTGAGCCTTGGATAATATAGATATATATAATAAATTGGGCATTGGGTACGATTAATCACTTTAATTGAGTATTGGATAATATAGACATATATAATAAATTATAGATAAATAGAGATAGGGTCTTGTATAATGTAGACATACATGATAAATTATAGAGAAATAGAGATAATATATTAGATGGGGAAATCGTATAATATATTATCTAATAAATATGTAATCGTACTGTCCCAATTTATTATTGTGTAATATAGACATATAAAATAAATTATAGAGAAATAGAGATAATAGATTACCTAGGGAAATCATAAATATATAAATCGTACTAAATTAGATAGGGATATCGTATAATTTATTATATCATAAATACGTAATCGTACTGTCTTTTTTTTTTGCCTTAAATAAATATTAAAATAAGGCATTCATTATAGCAATTTCCTATAGAGTAATTTAGCTTATAATAACCGCATCAAAGTTAAGATATAAAATCCTCCTCCTTAACAAGCTAATTAAGGAGAAATCCGATTCATAGCAATCACGGAAATCCGTGTTATGTATTGATAGCATTTACTGATTTTAGAATAAGATCTTTATTTTAAATTTAAATATCAAACTTACAGTCACTTTGACCATGCTAAACATTTTAAGTAGTAGATGAAGAAGGCGAAAGAAAACTGCCCTTTACTTCTTAATTAATATAAACGAGATAACGATTCATAACCATTTTTCCCATAACATTTGGGGCAAATCTTTCTTCTATTTTGCGAAACAGGTAAAAAAAATTGAATTTTTTTTAATTAGTCGCCAGGAACTTTAGGTACAGTTCAAGAATCATTTCTGAATAATTTGTTTTGTGCGTTAATTCGATCTTCATGTGCTAATAGATTTCTTACGAATAAAAAAGGAGCAAAAGTAGAATTGATGGTAAGCGGAATCCTAGAAAATGTGATTAATTGGGAATTTGATGAATAGAATCAGACAAAACAGAATTGAAATAAAACCCATTAAGATATTTGAAACTGTGAAGTAAACCAAGTATTGTAGACATAACATAGACAAGGACAGATAAACCGGTCGTCGCTGAAGTTTTCTAGTGATTAAAGAGAGAAAATTTACGCCCAACATGGAAAGAATACCGAAATTAAATGAAGGGAAATAATCCCGGATGTAGAGAAAAGATTACGAAAGTTTCACGAGAAGATAGAAATAGATGATGATACAATAAACAAAATGAGGAATCAATATTGTTCGAGAAGAGATAAGGAAGGATGAAAAACCAAACTATTTCAATGTACGATGGATAAATGATTGAGTTCGATGAAGTGAATTAAATGATACCCAGTCAAAATTTCAGGCTGTGGCACCGGCTAGTAAGGGCGAAGGTCGAGCGTTTTCGATGAAAAATCGCGAATGTAAAGTGAGATCGTTAAACGAATTGTGAATTTTGAAAACTAAATTTTTACAAATAGAGCTGCCAGCCAATAACGAGATTGTTATAACGAGAGACTGCCAGTCAATAACGAGATTGTTATAACGAGAGCTGCCAGCAATAACGAGATTGCTATAACGAGAGCTACCAGCAATAACGAGATTGTTATAACGAGAGACTGCCAGCCTATAACGAGATTGTTATAACGAGAGCTGCCAGTCAATAACGAGATTGTTATAACGAGAGCTGTCAGCCAATAACGAGATTGTTACCCTTCGAACGGTAATGCCTATAATTCCAAAATTACCAAGTTTTCAAATGAATGTTTACTCTAAAAATTTCCTTTATAGCGTTTAAGTCTCGAGACGTTGGTCACCTTGTTGAAAATGAATTCAAAAGTAGAAACCATCGGAATCTGGATGAATGGAAATGAACGTACAAAGAATCCAGCCGAAGGAAATATATACGGTAAAATGTTATTATTTATTCAAATGTTACGCAATATTACGCAGTCAACGATCATGCAGTCCCAACAATTAGGTTCTTGATTAGAGTTTGGAGGACATGTATCATATTAAGCGTATATTGAATAAATAGGAAAATGTGAAACTTGATAAATTGTCAACAGGATACAAGAGTATTGGTTTTTTCTATGAAGTAACTGATGCTGTGAGAATTATATCCTCAAAAAATTTAATAAACCAACACAATATAGTTTTTCGCAATCGGCAAGCAAATTCCTGACAGGACATAACATGAGTTCTTAGCTCTGAAACATTTAATTTGAGTTTTTAATTGTGAAGACGCAGAAACTAAATGTAGGGTTTACAGTGAACGGTATCGGTCACTGTCAAGTACCCAGTCAATCACCAATGTGGGCAACGATGTCGATTAGTGTGGGTTACTGCATATCGCGGGTGATCCGACCACTCGAAGATTTAGAAGTCGAATTTCCTTGAATAATCTATGCAGATGCATGGCGAACTATCGACTGTGGGTTTATCGTTGCAGATCGAAGTATCTGAGTGTTGGCAACTTTACAGAGCAAACCGAAAAATTCATGCGAAAACATGTCGGTTGGCTATTTCATCTAATAGAATAATTGATCGGAAATTGATATGCACTTTAATTTATGATTACCCAGTTAAAATTTTATTCAAAATTGCGTTCAATCTAGTTCAATAGATAGAATGCGCTATGTCGGGTAGATTTCTGATGTCAGTTACGATTATTATACCACGTAATTATTTTAATACTTTGAACTACGTAAGTGTTTTACTAGCTTTCCAAGTTTGAACGCTTCCGCAAAGAGGAACGTTTAAGCCTTAATGTTACCTTGACCTTAATAATGTTCAGGAGATATAGATTAGTTTGCCTTAAAATTTTTTTTCTAACGTGAGTGTAAAGAAAACGTTTTTTACGTGCATGATATAAATCTCCTGCTATCGACTAACAGTCGTATAAATAAACTGCTTCCAAGCTTAACAATATTTTTATTTAAAAAGATCCCATCATAAACTTCTTCAAAGTTCATATTCAAAACATTTTCTTACAGCTGCTCTAGCGTGCTCTATTAATCATGACAAATTTGCATCAGTTTTTCAACGAGGCTGATTTGAGGGAATAAATAATTGAGAAATAAATTTCGATGTAAATTAATCAGCTCTAATACAAAATTTATATAAACTAGAGAACTTACTAGGAAATAAATTTAAGAAATATAGAAGTAACGGCATTTCGATTGCCCGAAAATAATAAAAAGTGGCAAGAGAAATAGTGCTTGTCTCCTTTACAATACGAGTAATATTATTTTATCGATTGAATATAAACTGCGTTCATTCCTCTAAAATATATATAAATGAATAATCTTTAAACAGTTCCACCACAAATGTGGCTATTCCTCTATTTACCTGACGATTGCAAGCCATTCGTTTCGTAGTTACAGTATGTAGTTGATAGAGCTTGCTGTGGTAAGGTGTCTTGGTGGTCAAGTGGGCTGAGGCATAAACTTTGACGCGAATTTCCCGCGTTCGAATCTCGGAGCTGCAGTCGACGTTTATCCGGTAAGAGAACTTAGCTGTGAATTACTTGTAACTTCTCTATATCATTAGACATGTCATAGTGAACGGTAACGTGTCGATGATCTCGGAGAGAGAGAAAAAAAATTTTATGGATTAGACATCGATTAATGTAGATTCGACGTAGATCAATGATGATTCGACATCGATTAATGCAGATTCGACTTCAGCTAGTGTAGATTCGACATCGATCGGTGCAGATTATTCGATTCAACAAGTTATCAGGTGCAGAAACTTCGACGATCTTCGCCGAATCTGCATAGAAAATTCCTCAATAATCGTCGTTGCGCCCCGCGACATTGCCCTCTCCGTTGCCCACTCCAAATGGAGGTTTGCCCATGTCGATCGAGCAAGAAACTGCATTAATTTCTTCATCGATCCGCCCTAATCTTCATCGATCGATCAAGACCTGATTGACTGGGTAGAAACGCTAAAATAATTGAAATATATTTATTTATATTCATGATCCTACATAACATTGCAAATAATAACAGTATTTAGACACAAGAGCGCTACTCTAGAAATTACTTTATATTAACTTCGCAGCCAAGTCCTTTTCTTTTAATTTTTAGAACACACACGATTCCCTTTAAGGCAGCTTCATGATAAAAAAATATTAATTTACTGTACGTGTAAGTAAGGAATTACGATAATCTTAGCGATTTACAGATTTATTCTACGACATACGAGGGCGGCCGTAGACGCTACGCCGGATTCTGGAGCTCGAAAAGCCATGAATTTAGACAATACAACTTTTTACTCTTCAAAGGCGACTAAGTGCCGCCCAAAAGTGGACATTGCGGCAGTGGCTCGGCGGCGATTCTTCGGCGTTACATTTCTTAGTCCCAATCTCACTGCCCTAAATCGCTGATAATGCAGCCTTGATTTTTAACTGGGTAGTGTTAATGATACGTAGGCGGAAGCTATCGTGACGTCTGTGACGATAAAAAGGACGTAATAATGACGTACATGGTGAAAAAAATGGAGCTATATTGATGCTCGTGTAAAGAAAATGCGAGTTTTAAGATGTCAACGAGACCATGTCAGAGATAAAACGAGAGTGACGTCCATTAGAAGAATAGTGACGTCCATTAGAAGAATAGTGACGTGAGAGTGACGTCCATTAGAAGAATAGTGACGTGAGAGTGACGTCCATTAACAGAATAGTGACGTGAGAGTGACGTCCATTAACAGAATAGTGACGTGAGAGTGACGTTCATTAGAAGAATAGTGACGTCCATTAGAAGAAGAGTGACGTGAGAGTGACGTTCATTGTCTATGATTAAGTGAAC